TCCTTTTTTCTAATTTTTTAGTGACAGAGTAATATTGCTTTTTATTTTCCTACCACTAAAAAGTTTTCTAGCCAAGTCGGAGTCACATATTTCAACATTACGATTCAAGGCTAAAATTCCGGCCGTTATAGATTCAGTAGACCAGCAAACTAATAATTAAATGTCATTAAATCATTAAAAACACATACAACATCCATATGCTCCAGCAAAATAAATTAATTTTGGAGAAGAACAAAAAACATATCCGAAATATCCCAAATATCCGGTTAAAAATCCAACAAATAAAAGTCCTGCCATATCAAATACCCCCATAACGAACATAATTTTATAACAATTACTTTTTGCCATTAGCTTACGAATTGAAAACAAACAAAGAATATAGAGTATCTGTTTAATAATAGGTTTGTGTTAACTAATTATTTTTATTATCTAAACATTGATAATCGCTTATTGAGAGGTTATTCGAAATTGAGGAAATGCCTCTGAAAGAGACTAATGGTCGCCATTAGTGCTTCGCCGGAACCGCAAAGGCCGGAATCTGAACCAAAAAATTTTAGCCGGATCCGGACCGTATCTAATTTTTTGGTTACTGACCGGAACCGGAACTTTGTTAAAAAAATTGGAATAAAAATTTTTACTGTAAATAATGAAGGGGTTCGCGCAGCAGTCGGAAATTTTTTGAATTTTGGAAAGCCAAGAAGCCTATTTTCTCCATTTTTAGCGCCGGACAACCTGACAGTTTATTGTTCCATATTCAAAAAGGCTTAACTGAAAGCTTTTAATTTTTCTTGAAAATTACCTCATATATTGTGGACAAAATAACAACGAAAATTGCAAGTAATTTATGTTGACGTTTTTCTAAAGGGATTTGGTCAACATTGTAAATACTACAATTGTAAAGACGCTCGTATTCATCATGATTAAAGAAATACAAATCCATTGCTATTTTTCTTTCTGCTAAACAAAATGGAATGAATTACTCTGTTACCTTAGTCGAAATAACTACCCGAACTATAGATTAGAGTATTTTACGATCCTTAGACTAAAGGAAACCGAAAACGGTGCTTTTGTAACCAAATCGTAATCCGGGTTCAAAGTCTCGCGATAATATGGTGACGATAACAGAGAGGGCAACAATTTGAGATTATTTATTGAATTGAAATTGGAGTTGAGACTTGAGTTGAGCGGGATCGGAATCAGGGATGTCACGGGTTGAGAAAAATGTCGGGTCGGGTTTCGGATCGGGGTTCCAAAATTTTTCTCGGATCGGGTTTCGGGTTGAGCAAAAAGTCGGGTCGGGTTTCGGATCGGGTTTCCAAAATTTCTTCGGATCGGGTTTCGGGTCGAAAAAAAAGTCCCTTTTTCAGCGCCGCAGACGAAAATTTTCAGAATTTTGGAGGTCATTAAGCTAAAAATCTTCCCTTTTTCAGCGCCGCAGACGAAAATTTTCAGAATTTTGGAGGTCATTAAGCTAAAAATCTTCCCTTTTTCTGCGACGCGGGCGAAAATTTTGAAAAAACTCGGGTCGGGTTTCGGGTCGGGTTCTGAAAAATAAAAATTCTCGGGTCGGGTTTCGGGTCGGGTTTTAGAAAATTTCTCGGATCGGGTTTCGGGTATCGGGTCGAAAAAAAGGCCGGGTTTCGGGTATCGGGTTTCGGGTAACCCGTGACATCCCTGATCGGAATCTCGACATAAAATTTTGGAATAATGGCCCCGATCCCGGTCCTGACTACAGGATCGGGATGGGCAGAAATCTGGATTCGGAATAGTGACCCCCCGGTAGTGAAAAACCAGTATTGAAAATTGCAAAAAAAATTTTATTAACCGGTATTGAAAGAATTTTTTCAAATATTTTTATTTTTATCATATAATTTTATTTTCCTCAATATAATTTCAAAATTTTCCTCTACGATGCAGAAATATATCTGTGGCTTGATATTCCTTACAAATGACTTGATATTCCAAATATCCCTGCAAATCCCCTCTATTTAAATACATCTTTATCCATGTAATCCTCCGATATCCTTTTATTCCTAAATATGCACCCCTTGATCCCTTTAGGTATATTATAAGGAACTTTGATCCTGCTATGCAGGATGGGAAAAAGGGAAGGAGTATGACGAATACCCGGAAAAGTTTCTGGGTTGCATTTATACGAGATTTGCAGAGTTATGATGGATCTTGAATATCGGATAAGATAGGGATCAAGATAACTGAATTTTAGGAAGATCAAGGTGGATTATTTGTAATTTATCGACTGATTTTGAGGGAATAAGGAGATATTACGCTTTCAAAAAATCTGAAGATTATGATTTTGAAGATAAGGGGAATATGAATGTTTAACTGGCGATGTTAAACTTCATATCCTTTGTTATCTCATGAAATCCACTGATATCAATAGAGACAGGATTTTTATGCATTAAACAATTCGAAATATGCACTATATATATCAGGGCTAAGCGAATACCGTCGTTAATATTGCACCGTCATTCACTAATAAAATTTAATTGTTTATTAATTATTTAAATAAACTTTAATTTTTCTAAAATTCCTGGTTTTATTTTTTAATGTTGCTATGCAAATTAGTTACGTTGACTGACATAAATAAGAAACCAAATATTTATAATAAAGATATACTCGTATATTGCCGTTTTTTAGTTCAAAACTTCAAATGTTTCACCACTATTTATTAGAAAAAAATATTTGTATTTAACATGAATTTAGAATACAAATTTTTCACAAAATACTATAAAAATTTAATAATTTTTGATAAATAAAAAAGCTATAGAAGCTAAAAAAATTAATTTTTCGAAAAGTGCTTGTTTATAACACAGGTATTTTTTTTTAACTAGGAAAGAAAAATTATGACACAGGAAAGAAATTTTTCTCATGTAGCAATCGAAATTCTTAAAATTTTCGTCTACAGCGCATAAAAAGTAAGAAATTTGGCTACTTGGCCTCTAAAATTCTCAAAATTTCGTCTGTGGCGGTAATATTTAAGAAAAAATATGACCTAAATAACCATAAAAGTCTAGCCTGCAGCGCTAAAAATTAAAGAAATCTGTTATGGGCCTTTAAAATTCTCAATAACAAAAAACATGGAGAGAAAATGGAATATTCTACATTGAAATTTGTTTAAAATTTGAAAATCCAAGCAATTATTTTATGAGCTTAGTTGGTAATTTGGTTTCAATTCTACGTTAAAATTATAAAAACAAATGAGGAAAGATGCGTATTCAAAATATTCAAGAAAATCTCTGATTTAGTTAAAAAAATTTTATAAGATTGAGACATTACATATCAATAAAAATATCAAAAACAAAGGTAGATGATATTGAGGATGGTCAAATGAATGTATATACGAAGGTTTGGTCGAAAAAATCCCAATGCGGAATTTGTAGCCTCTCCATTGTTTGATGTCGGAAGTTATGAATTTTATTTGGGTGAGGATGGAATAACAAGAGATAATAGAAACTCACCATGAATTCGTTTATTAAATGAATAAAAAATATTTTATTTTCAACGTTACTAATTTTTAATTATTTTTTAGTTTTAACAAGTTACAATACTTTTATTATTCGCATATGTACCTATATAGTTTCTAATGAATAAATATTTATTATAAAAATATAATATTTTGTTAAAATAAAATTAACTTTAAAATTTATTTCTTTGATAAAACCTAATTTTTGCTCTTCCCAACTTCTTGACAACCGGAAGGAGTACTTAATTATTTTTAATTTAATTGCTATTCATTACCAAAAAATATAAAAAATTAAAGAATTATTTTCTTATAGAAAAAGTATAAAAAAATTAATAAAAAATCTTTTTGTTTGCAAACAGGTAATAATTGGTGTAGAGTATTGTTTGGAATTTTTTAAGATGCCAACTTATAAACTTACTTTATTTGATTTTCTTTGTATTTTTAAATTTAGAATTAAATTTGCAGAAAAAAACTTTGCAGGTTCTGGTTCTTTAAGAAACAAACTCATATAAATTTCACTCCAATAACTTAATAATTTAAAAATTCAAAAAATTATATCCTCATATAAAAAATTGAAAAATTAAGATTAAAATTAATTTTCTGTCCAAATTTAACTAAATAAACTAAAAATTGCTGTGGATGCACCAAATTAACGCAGATAATTTAATAATGTTGCCTTTACAAATCAGAACCTATTTTTGCCTTATTATTATTCGATAGAGAATAAAATTTATTATCAAAAATATTTTTAAAAATTTTAAATGAACTGTTAACATTTCTGGTAAAAATTAAACTAATTTCATCATCTAAATTATTAAGCATAATTTCCTATAAAATAAAAAAAAATTTTTTTGACTTTTGATTTTATTCTAACGTTTTTACACTTTTTAATCAACTTTTTAACTACTCAAGTTTTCATATATTTTATTTTTTGTTGACGTCAAGAACACAAAATATAATTTTTTTATATTTTGTGCTTCAAGACCTTGAATTAAAAACAAAAACAATTAATTTAAAAATTATACTTTAATTTTTATGAAAAAAATTAGTTAATTAATTTAGATAGGCGTGTAGGCAGATTTTCAAACAAATTTTAGTATAAAACTTGAAGAAAATTTGTTAGATTTAACATTTAAATACCCTCATAGTAAGAGTTGCTTAAACTAGAAATCGTATAAATTTTCACCCCCAAATCCTTAGCTGTACTTTAATAGTTGGCTCAACACGATGAGCTCTCTCGAATGAGCTATTACCATTACATAAATATAACCGAATCTCTACTCTTAATCATGATTTTGTCCTCCTAAGTTTTTCTAATTTTTGAGGACTTACATATCTAAATCCTAAGGCATTTTTTTTTTCAAAAAGAGTGATAACATTCTATTTTAACTCAAAAGACGTTTAATAAAATATTACGTTCGAGTTCAAGTTTTGTTGGTTAAGCATAAATAAATTTTAATTTTTATTAACCATCCTATTTATCATCGCTTTAATTTTATTTTTAAAAGTTTGATTTAAAAAAATGAATAAATTCCACATTCTTTTACTTCTACTAGTGATTTTGACAATTACCGTATTGAGTGAGGCATCTCATCCTGTTGCTCTTGAAAATTCTGATTCTCGGTAAAGATAAAAATTCTTAATTTTAATTAAACTATTATTTAATTTTTAGTATGTTGGTGAAAAGAGAGGTTGCAGCAATAAGGGCAAAACGTTTTGGATGGGGGTGATTATTTTTAAAATTAATTATTTAAAGAAATTTAATTTACATTATGACTATATATGCTTTATGGATTTGGCTATTTATGAAAATTCTTTTCTGCATATTAAATTAATAGGACCTAGCTTTATTACCTTTAGACATCGCTAAAAATACCTCGCAGTTACTCCTTAGTTAATCTAAGACTTACAAAATTCCCAGTATGGCACTTAGGCATGTGGTAAGCAATCAATTCTAGATTTCATGGCAAATCTTAAGTAGGATATTTTGATTTTTGTAACATCTAATATTTCCATTATCGTTGATTTAATTACTCCAAGAAAAAAACATGGTTGGCCACAGTGTAAGTAGTGTGCCTAAACGATTCCTCTATTTAACTCTCTCTCTCATAATAAGATAAAAAAATTTTTTCCAATCTCAAGAGTGTATTTAGTGTGTGGTAGACTATCGGACTCTTCTCTTTAATATTTTTATAAAAGAATGTAGAACTTTTTAATTAAAAATATTTTTTTCTAGTTGCTGTGGTGGAGGCGGTATCGGACTCTTCTGGGGCGGCCGATGATTCTTAATTAAAAAGAATTATGTATTTGTGGAATAAATAGAAATATAAAATAATAATATTTAGAATTAATATTAAATTAGAAAATTACTTTATTTTTAGTATTGTCTAGATTTTTATTCTCAAATTAATAAAGAATCTAATTCTGACATTTAATGTTTTAATCAGTTCTTAAATTTGAGGATTTTTTAGCTCCAAACTTCTAGCTTTCCTTCTCTTAGATAATTTATAGTGCCTTAGAATTTTTTCTGAACTGGTGTTTAATTGTAGATAAAAATTGTCTGTAAGTCTTTATTTTGATAAATAGGCTATTTTAATCTGACAAATGAGCTATATCCAGTAATTCATATAGCTATTGTATTCCTAAGGATGTGAAGTAGGCAGCGTGGTATAATGGTTAACACATCAGTTCGGTCTACGGAAGATGCTGGTTGTCCCAGTCGCAGAATAACCTCTTGCACTAGCTAAAGGAGACACCTAAATATCTATTATAGCCCAATAAAGTTTATAAAACTTTATTCCAATTTAATAAAAAATCCCTCTAAATCAACAGTTAAATGCTTTCTTGCATTTAGATTCTTTTCAATTAGCCAAGAGTTAAAGAAAATATATAAAAATGTTCCTTACACATTACTAGTAGTGCAAAGGGAACACAAAATACTTTTTTACTAATTTTTAGTTTTTAGTCTGTTTTTATTACCAAAAATTTTTTTCTACTCATTTTTCACGTCAAAAACTAAAAAATTATTCTTTCCTCTTTAAAAAAGATCAACCTTTATTTGCAAATATAAATATTTAGAGTAAATTAATTGTGATATAGAAACACTATTTTGTTCATTAATTAAGGCAATTAAATTCTTTTTAGTTTTTATTAGATAGGCGTGTTCTTTAAAAATTCTTTTGGGTAATTTTGTATAAAATAAATAAAACTTGACAGGGTTTTTGGCAGTTTTTAATAAATTATAGTGAAGAAGTAAGTTCCGTTCGAGTTTATAACTCTTAAATAAATACCCAAATATTTCAATTCTTGATATCATTCTATAAAAAAATTAATTCTCTATTAAATTAAACTAGAATAAAACTATTATTTTGTATTTGTTTAAAAACTATTCGAGTCCCCTTATCTTCCTTCAATCCTATTCTGATTTTTACTTGTTACTTTCTGAATTAATTTAAATCTTGATATCTTTAACTTTCCCTTGATAATTAAATTCCGTAATCTAAGAATTTATTTTATATTCGATTTTATGAAGAATTTAATTATCAAGGGAAAGTTAAAGATATCAAGAATTAAAAATAATTTAGAAACTAACATATGGAAAGTAGTTGTAGAAAAACACGTCAAAACCTTAGAGAACCCTAATTTTTATCTTAAAATTATTTAATTTTGATTGTTACTTTCAAAATTCTAAATTTTTTGCATTATTCAGTAGTTTAAGAGAAAAAATTACTATTACACAAAAATAATTTTTATTCATTTTTAATTCAAAATTTAATTTTTAAAATTTAATATTAACTAAATTAAATAGTTTTTACATAGATATTTTAATTAGAATAAATTACAAAAAATGAACAAATTTTATATTTATGTTTGCCTTATTGCCGTCTTTCTGGCATTTATCGTAGTGACCGAGGCCACTAAAGGAACATCAACGGGAAATGAGGAAAAGCCTGTTGATTCTGAGTAAACCTGATTTTTTAAATATTTTAGAGGATTCAAATATTATTTTAAAAATCAAAAAAAAATTTCAAAGAATTTTTAAAAATTAAAAAAAATTTTCAGCAGTGCGTCGTTGATAAGGGATTCGAGAGCTACTCGCGTTAAACGTTTTGGATGGGGGTAAATTTATTTTTAATACTTTTTAAATTATCGAAAATATATACCGTATACATATATCAAATAATTAACCCTTCCAGCGAGAAATATTTTTAAAATTTTTTAAAAGAAAAAATTAATTTTAAATTTAAGTTGTTGTGGTTGTGGCTGTGGATGTTGCGGCGGATTTGGCGGTATAGGACTCTTTGCCTTTGGAAAATAAACTGAAAATTTTAAAAAGAATATAAAGGCAGATAAAATGAATAGAATTAGAATAAATTTGTTCTATTTTTATATTTTTAAAAATTAATAAAAATTAAAGTTGGTTGCTAGTTTATAAAAAAATGTTAATCTACATTAGGGTTGCCTAAATGGAACGATTCGGAGCGAAAGATCGAGTCGGGCCTATGATAGTGACCCGAAAATGGCTCATTTGACTACGATAAAGTTAGGCCTAAAGTACTCGTACCGGCCCGACTTGATAAAAATGAGGCCCAAAAAATGGTTCGACCGTCGAACCGACTCGAAAATGGTAACCCTAATCACATTACAAAGAATAAACAGAACAAAATTTTTTATAAATTCAATTTCATTAAGCATCTCAAGTTGATTTACCCCGTATGCTTTAATAATTGCCCTCCCCAAGGTGACCCTTACCAAACCACCAAAATAGGGTCCAGTCACAAAAATAGGGCAAAAATAGGTCTTTATTTTAAAACTTAAAAATGATTGCAAAATGGTAAAAATAGGCCAAAATATAGAAAATGTAGGAAATAATGAAGAAATAAGGCGAAAAGGACAAAAATATGGCAAATGCCTATATTAAATAATGGTCACATGGTAAAAGGGTTACATTGGCCCTCCACCAATATAATCAACTCCCTCAGTTAGAAGGAGAAACAATAATTTCCTAGGGTAATTATTTAAGCATATACAACATTTTATTTTTCACTTCTTTGCCGTTAAATAAAGCACTCCTTTGTTGGATAGACGGCATTTTAAGGTATTTGGTTGGACATCGTTAGGCAGACGATAACATCGATGAATCTCTCTTCTAACAGATCCATTCTCGTCTATAAATTATTTTTAATATTTTTAATTAAAATTAAAAAATATTATTTTACTTGCGCGTGGTTCATGTAAACAATGGATAAGCACCTCATTTCCAGAAATATTTACCTTTAAAATTGTAAACAACATTATTTTTTAGGATTAAAGTTAAGAATAAGACGATAAATATTCCATTTTTGTACAAAAAATTCTTTTAATTTTTTATTTTTGTTAAATTGTAAATAGTAACGGTTCCTATTACAATTTATTTTATTTTTGCCAAGACTATTAAATAACAAAAATAAAATTTTAAAATTAATAAAGTAACTTTAAATTTATAATTTTCCATTTAATCATATTTTTTAGTTTATACTAAAGGTCGATAAATCGCATTTCGGATTTCTTTTCAAAAACAGGATCCCGCGGGATTAATCCCGTAAATGGCGATAATCCCGTTCATCGTGTAAAACGCGGGATTTCGGTAGAGGATACCGTAAAATCCCGTACGGGATCCTATCCCATGCCGAACTCTAGTTTATACTAGCAATATTTGCTATCTGTTAATTGTTGACTGTAGCGGCTCAAATGTCTTATTCTTCCCCATTTAGCCACCACAGGGAAAACCACAGGGAAAAAAATTTATTTACCTCAATTTCACTTGGCAAAAAGAACTGAACATCCAATAAAACTTCAAATTTCTCATCGGTATTGTGTACCTTAACAATACCGTTTGTGTGTTGTAGAGGCCCTAGAAAATTTTTTCCTCTCTAAATAATTAAACTAACAATCCCATTCACTAGCCACTTCGTGTTCAACTTCAATATTATTTTCATTTGGAATATTAACTGAATGTCTTCTTGGACAAATAAAGTTTTGTGTCCCTTTAGGTTTCTGTATTATTATTAATTTTGGTAGTTGATTGAGGAAGTATACTTCATCCTCTCCTTTTCCAAAATTTGAATTAGGGTTTAAAAAACCTTTTGAATCCATTTTAAATTTTAAAATTTTTATTTATAGGAGCTATAGAATATTTTATGAGAATATTAATGACATTCGATCATAAAAAATTTTTTTTTAATTATTTTACTTTAAACTTAAATATGTTTTTTACGTGAAAACAAAGGGGTGCTTATCATTTTCTGACAATTATTTACAATATAAAATTGAATTCAAAATTTTAGAAAATAGTTTCAAAAAATTATGGGCAAAAAACCATAAATACCTTTAACGAAAAAAATTTCCCTTCAGATAATGTCATTTTTTGACAATAAATTTATAAATTTTTTATTTAAATTTTATTTTTTTATCTAGAAATGTCTGTTCAAATCGAATCGAAAAACTTGAGATTTATTGTTCGGTTTCAATTCTTATCCCCCCATCTTATCCTTCTTCGTGGAAAATTTACATCTACATCGAATGGCACCAAAATCTTAAAATAATATTTTTCCCTTCATGTATTACACATCTCCAAATTAACTTTAATTTAAAGCTACAAATACATAGTAGACATTATAAAATTCAATTTTTTAAATCAAATTTTTAGTCATATAAATATGTTTCAGAAATTAAAAATCTAAGGCAATCTTTGTGTTTTGAATTAAATTAAATGTGAGAAAAATCAGAAAAAAATTTTGCGAAAGAATAAAATTGAGGCAACATAGTAGAAAGGTGGTACATAAAAGATAAATAAACTTAAAACTTTAAATAAAAAGAAAAAACAAAGGAAAAAGAAAAAAAGGATCTAAAAATAAATTTAAAAATAAAATAAAAATTTATTTTTAAAGAAATTAATATTTTTATTAAATTAAAGAGAAAAATCATAAGAATTTTGAAAAAATTTTAAATAAAAATTTTTTTACCTTTTTATTTTCCAAAGATTAATTTCTTAGGTGAATTTATGGAATATTTTAAATTATAAAGTAAACAAAAATATTTTTTATTTTTTTTCGTAGAAGTAATGGAAGGCTTTAAGGGTGCCAAATCGTTTTCTTTTATTAAAAAAAAAGAAAAATTCTTTTCTCTTTTTTTACAAACAGATTTGGAAGCTCCAGAAAGCCCACCACTTTTTTTACTTCAAATTTATTAATTTTTATCAGGAAATATTTTTTAAGGATTAAGGAAATGTTGGAAGTCTGGGCGTGTTGAATTTATAATATTTTTATTCATTATTTGAATTATTATTTAAAAATCCTTTTTTAAAAATTATATTTGATAATAATTTTTTATATTATTTATTTGACTAGTTGCTTTTTAAATTCTGATTAAGAAATTGTTTTTATTTTCAGAATATAATATTTATATTTTAATATAAAACTTAATTAAAAAATGTTGTAGTTAGAATTAGGGTTTTAAGTTTTGAACCGAACCGAAACGAAGAATCGGAGATTTTTCGGTTCGGTTTTTCGAAAGAACCGACAATTTTGCAAGAACCGACAACCTTATTTAAAATTTTTGCCTAAAAATAGATGGGATTATTCAAATCTCGATAGAATTCTTGTTCAATTAGCGTCTCTCTTTAATACATCACTAAAATTCGGTCCCGGTTTTGAGTTTAGATAGATCTGATCAACCAATATTAAGTCTCATCAATAAGACGGGTCTCATTCATATCTAGTTGTTCCCCTCCTATGGAGATTTGACTATACAAACAATAAAATCTCTCCATTACGTAGCTTCTTGGGATCGAATTTCGTTGCTCAAAACGTGGTTATATAGAGAGATCTGTATAACGTCTTTATAGACTTTATAGAACGAATTTTTCTTCAAAAATAGGTTGTTATATAGTTAAGTAACACTGAGCTAAATAAGAACTTTCAGTAATTTTACTAAATATTTTTTAAACGTAAACAAGTAAAAGTAATTAAAAAAATTTTTTTGATGACTCCCCCATATATAAAGTTAAGTAGATAATATTAATAAAATATTTAAAAATGTATGCGGAAAAATATATACATCCATATATCCAAAGTATTCTGTAATGACGCAAAATAATCCATTAAAAAGAAAAATAAGCATCTAAGGATTAAAAGACTGTAATAAATATAAATCCTATACATTTTTCCATGAAAATATGAGGAAATTATTTTAAGTCACAAAAAAAGTTTTTTATACGTGTTAAAAAATTTATTTTTAGTTAATAATTATTATAATAATTAAAAATAAAATTGACAAAATAAGACTATATCAAGATGAAAGCACGGTAGATTACGGTATAATGTAACAAACGAAAGACACTCCCGTTACATGACTCACATTAATTTAAAAAATTTGCTAGGAAACTCTATGCGATTCCCAATATTTAAGAATTTATGCCTAATTGTAAGAATATAAGCTAATATAACTAGTTTTTAGTACTGTATAAAAAGACAAATTTCGACACAAAAATATATTAAAACTCCCAAAAAATTTGACAATATATCTAAGTATAACAAAGTCTATCAAAATCTATTCCCTCAAATACATTGAACTAAGAATTGTTCTTAGTTTTTTATATTTAATTCATATAGTAAATCTTTTAATGGAAGCATTCACAACAATTTGCTTTGACATTTTTAGTGAAGCCAAATGGGAGCGCTAGGGATCATTTTTCTTTCGGAGTCAAATTTTTCCTTTAATTCATTCACTTCCAAATCCACACAAAATTTTCTCTCAATATACATATCTTCACAAATATTAATTCCAAAAATGTAGCTAAATATATCAATAATCATAAAAAATCTTAATACAGAAATTCACATCTCGAAAGATTAAAAATTTAATGATGGGACAAAATTTTCTTTAATACCGTAAATCATATTTTTAAAACTTTTTACTATCTCAAGCCCATATATTAACTTTCTCAATTTTTTGTTTAAAAATAAATATTTTGTATAATATTCCAAAATATTTACTCGTTTTCTAAACGTAAAAACACAAAATTTAAAGAACAAAAAACGTCATTGTATCTTTTGTACTTTTCGGACGTTAAAAGAACAATTAATATAATGGACTTAGCATCAAATTTCTTTATAAAATAAAATAAATAAAAATGTTTCTGTTCTTTTTGATATCAATGACCAACATTTTTAAGCCTAAAACTTGTTTTACTAAAAAATTTTGTTGTTTGTTTGGAAGTAAAAGATAGCTTGAGAGAAGCATGAGAGGACACTGTTGAGTCTATTAACCATAACTCACGGAAGGATGTACCTTTAAAGGCAATTTTGGTCTCATTCGATAGAGGAAAGAATTTGCTATAAAATAGAAGAAAATTAAAATTTTGAATTTGTTAACAAAAAAGATATGAACGGAAAACTGGAAAAACGTCCTCCCTTTGAGGGGTTTCTCTACTTAATTTACTTTTTTTTTAATAAAATTAATTCCTAATTTTATTAAGCAGTTAATTAAATCACTATCAAACTATACCAAAATCTTCCCATAATGGTCAGTAATTGTTAAAAATAAAGCCTTGACTCAACTCAACTCTTTATTATATTTGTTTTATTCTGAAATTGATCATCATTTTTTCTCTTTGTTTGCTGTCCATTGTTTTAAAAGTGAGGCATTGTATTAAAAACTTAAAAATGAGATGGATAAATGTTGGGATTCGTTCATTTATAATTTACTTCTCCGTTGTTAATAAATAATGACTGCCTTGACGTTGAAAACCTGCATTAATTTGTAAGTTGATTTTTAACTGTATTTTACTTGGTTTAGGTAATAATAGTAACCTTCGTTATTTAAAACGTGTAAGACGGAAACATTCTAGAGTTGAAAAACGGAAGCGGAAGGGCCAAAAAGATGAAATTAAGCCCATTACTGGCTTAATTCTCTATAGCTTGAGATCACTTTGTCTATAAATTCAAATTTTAGAACTTTGGAAGAATCTTTAAGAAATTGGGCGAATAGTTCACTATTTTATGGAAAATTTTCAAACGTATCTACTTCCGCACAAATTTTTAGTACTATATTATTTTAAATTGCAACTATGTCATTTTGGGGTTTTCTTATCTTATATTAGTTATGGTTATTAGACTAACTTATTATTTACAGTCTAATCTGCTCTCTAGTACTTCAATATAAATCAATTAATGCCCAAAATTTGGCACCTGGACAAACAGATTTCGTTTTACTTCCATGCACATTGAAAATAGAGGCAGGCCAGTATCCATGTGAACAACAACAATTAGGTGGAAATGTTCTTGTCGGGGATCAAATTCCACCAAATCAGCAGCAATCAGCTCCGTCAATATCTCCTCAATTTGAAGCACCTCAATCGATGGCTCAAATGACTAAATCATCCCTATTTCCAGGCACTAATAAACAACAACCAGGAATGGGAAACAGTACGTTTTCGGCAACAAATAATGGCTATTACACAGTATACCTCTAATAATATACATGCAAATTCTGAAACAATTGATCCTAAACGTTCTTTTTGAGGGATTATCCGATTACAATTCTAACCTCATGATTAGAAAATACATTCCAGAAATAGTTTGTGATACACGAGTAATTAAAATCAGAAGGATAACATTAGCTAACGGTATATATCAGGGTTGGACGAGACCGATGTCATTATAGTGTTAAAAATGTTTTTTAAAGATTTATATGTAATCAAAAAATAAAAAATTTTTCAAAGCTCTTCAATCCCCATTGCAACAACAACCACAATTAACTGTGCCTCCAAATTTTCGTTTGACAAAACTTGCGGATCTTGTACAAATACTTCCAGAAATTCAGCAATCTATGATTCAAGTAGTGGAAACTTCGGAACCCGAAAATATTGAATGTTTGTTTAAAATTTTGAACTGTTTTTTCAGTAAAGCTTTCCGATATATAAAAAAATTTTTTAGTCGTCCAAACACCTCCATCAACACCTCCACCTCTTTCATTACCTCCACAACCGACTTCTCAAATACCATTAACATTACCTATGGTAGCTTTGCCTCTATGTCAAAATAGCTGGCTTTCAATTGCATCAGCACGTCTTTGTCCTGTTCAGACTTTGGATACGACTATTAATGGAGTGAGGAAAAATTAGGGGATAAATTTAATTGGAAATGGGTTGGGGATCTCTTAATTCTCGGAGGGGAGGGGGGAGTATCCAGCTTTTAAGATTTAATTTTTCTTTCTTTTAGCAATCTCTTCTAACCTCTCCTAATGCTGCTCAATTACAAACTCCAACATCGTTTGACGCTACTGCAGAATTACAAAATTATTTATCTAGTTCGCCTTCGGTAAATGGACTTTCTCAACCACCAATGCCTAGGTATATAGCAAGTTTAATGAAAATAACAACGTGAATTATATTAAATTTTCCGGAAAATTAAGTTTTTCGGTCTCAAGAATAATATTAGATTTTCCGTAGATATAATGCTTCATTGAACTATTTTAAGTTCTACGGAAATGGCTTAAGTTTTGAGAGAATCTTTAAGGTTCCATGGTTCTATTTTATGTTTTCCGGAAAATATTTCTCGTTTAAAATAAAGCTTAATTAAATATAGAATAAAAATAAAAAATGAAAATTAAAAAAATTTATTTTCAAGGTCAACACCGTCATTAAATAAAATTGCCTCTTCTCCTCCATTAAATAAAAATAATTTATTATTTTTGCCAACTTCGAAGACAACAAATTTTAATATTGCTAATTCACCACGATATTTACCTTATAATAATATACAAGCATTATCTACTATTAATGGAAATATTAAAAATATGGGAAGAATTTAAACAATGATTCAGAAAGAGGAAAAGGGATTTTGACAAAATTATTATTTTATTGTAATTGAAAATAATTTTTTGATTGAATAAATTTAAAATAAATTAATTAAAATTAAACTTAACGAGAATTCAGTTGATTAAATTAATATGCCTTTACTTTCTTCCTGAATTGTGTATATGTTTTCGAAAGACTTCCGAGATAGTGGAATTAGAAATCAAAACCGAAGTAACAACCACATTCGCAATTAGTGAAGTAAGAAATAAAAATTTCAACACATTCGAAAAATCAAATGAAAATAATAACATCCAAAATCAAAACAAGCCTTCCTGACGCGATAAATTCCAGAAGCGAAAAAACTTGGAGTCTAAAATAAATTATTTTAAAAAACGACTCTTCTAATCCTTTGTTTTCTTTTCATGCTCTCGATATCTCCCCGTACTGAGGTATCATAAGTTCGATAATATTATCAGTAGAAAGCGAGGATTTAGGAAATAGGTAAACTATTTAGAATGGGAAAATTTTTGTTAAAAGAATAGAAAATTTATTCAATTTTACTAGAAAAATTACAAAATAAAATTGTATAAGAAAATGACTTTCCATTTCATTATGCTCAAATTTTCACATTAATTTTTTGACAGATTTATTCAAACGGTTTCATCATTTGCTAGTTGTTACCTCTTTAAAAATTTTAATAGTTCGTCTCATTAATCTTCACTCTTTCTTTTGTTAATCCATCCTTATCTAAATAAAATTCATAACTTCCATCATCAATTAATGGCTCAATTATGGCAATTATTTTAATGTTGTTAAATCTGCTCATTAAATCTACATTATCTACATATATTTGGCCATCTTCTATATGAACTATATCTGTTTTTGATATATAGACTAATATTCCATGTCTCAAACTTTTCAATACTTTCTTCTCCAGATCAGAAATTTTCTTGAAAATTTTGTAAAAACATCGTTTCTCATTTGCCTTTTTAATTTTAACGTAGAATTCAAACCATCCATTATAATTATTTAAAACATTAATAAAAAAGTTGCCTAGATTTTCAAATTTTAAACAAATTTCAATGTGAGAATATTCCATTTTCTCATGATGTTTTTTGTCTTTTAATATTATTGAATCAATAAAATTAGCCTTGCTAAGATTATCTCTGTCCAAAATTTTTCTAGGCCCTTCCGGATTCAAAAAACATATTAATCTTGTCAGCTTTGCATAATTGTGCCAAAAATTTGTTCTCAATGCCCATAAATTTGTTTTTATTCCGTTTATATTTATTAATATAGGAGCATTTATACTAGCATCATTTGTAGTAATTCTTTCATTTAATTGTTTATTAAACTCCAAATCGAATTGTGCAAAAAACATAGGTCTCAAAGTCATTAATATCTAAACCCACAATTTTAATTACATCTAAACATACCGTATTTCCTATATTAGAGCCCCATGGGGCTCTATTTTTCAACTATCCTCCAAGGTGGGGCTGTATTAAAGGGTGGGGCTCTAATTGAGGGTGGGGCTCTATTTTTCAACACTCTTTTGAGATAAAACCCCATTTATTAAATTTTATTGCAACTATGTAGAGATAGGCTGGAGGGGTGGTCGATAAAACCGAAAAATATCGAAAGAGAATCGAAATTTTCGATTTTTCACGAAAATAAGTTCAATGAGTTCAATGAGAGTAAGATTACTAAGTATGAAATTTTGGTAGATTTGGACGGATTAAAGGAAATATTAGGGGACTAGTATTTGACATCGATGGATCAAAGTATAAAAGTTGATTTTAAGGGATTATGGGGAATATAATAGGATTAAGTTTATATTGAGAGATTTAGCGGAAGTAAGAGGGATATTCTGGATTAGGGGTATTAGGAGGCATATGAAGCGATTTCTTTGATGAGGCCTTGGAACAGGTTCCAGAACTGGAACTGAAGTAATTCAAAAAGCAGTTCCAAAACTGGAACCGGTTCCAGAGAAATTTTGGAACTTCTCCATCACTGATTATAAGCGAGATCACTAATAGATCTCTAATAATCTCGCGAATTATCGTCAATTTCCTAACACGATTGCAACCCTTCATACAATGATTAGATTTTGGAGGTAATAGGAGCGATTTGGAAGAATATAGGTGATATAAGAGTATTTGGACGGATATCGGGGTTATCTCCTCCTTTTCATCCCTATATCCCAATGATCACAATATATCATCAATCAACAATATCATCAATATCCCCCTTTACTTTTTTAACTCTCGAAATACATCTAAAAAGTTATTGGGATATTTTTTTCCTCCAATATTTTTAAGTGGGGCTGTATTTGGGGTGGGGCTCTAATTGAGGGTGGGGCTCTATTTTTCAACTATCCTCCAAAGTGGGGCTGTATTAGAGGGTGGGGCTCTAACAGAGGGTGGGGCTCTAATATAGGAAATACGGTATTCAGGGTAAGACTTCTGATAATGAACACAACAAAACTCATGTTTTTCTTGTCAAAAAACAAGTGAGAAAGTAAAATATCAGTATAAAAATACTCAAAAAGGTCAACTTCTGCATTTTTCCCGGATTTTCAAACCTCTGAAAATCCGAGAAACATAGGGGAGTAAGCTGTTTTTTGTGGTCAAAAATTCGATTATGCAAATAATAGCCATTCGAAAGGGCTCGACGAGCTGAGTTGAATGACACCAAATTCAGCTCGATTGGATGATTATGAACGAAGTTATGACCAACAGACCAACAATCATGCACAAATATCCGGGATTTAGGCGTAATAATTGATAGTAATTTAACATTTTCAGATCATATAAATAGGATAGTTAGAAACGCTTATTTGAAAAGTCATAAAATATTACGAATAATGAAAACAAGAGAACTAAGCACACTAATAATGGCTTATAAATCATATGTCCGATCACAACTAGAATACGAGACAGAAATTTGGAACCCGTCTCAAAATGAAGATATAATTAAAATCGAGAAAGTTCAAAAATTTTTCACAAGAATGGCATTTAAGAAATGTGGTTAGTTTATAAAAATTATAAGGAGCGGCTAAAAATATGCAACTTACACGAATTAAAATCCTCAAAAATTTTTTGCCTTTTCAAATAGATCATTACGCAGGCCATTATTACTAAGAGCAAGAACTCACACAAATAAAAGTCAGCGAAATTTCTTTCACAGAATAGTAAAAGAATGGAATTATCTTCCCTCAGAGTCTATGACAATTAATAAGCCCAAGGAATTCAGAGAATTACTGAAAACTGTGTACTGAGTTTGAATGGTTTTAATGGTATATTCAAATTTATATATTTTTTTCTGATATATTATATATACCATTTTTTTAACTTATGTTTTACAATTTACATTTAATTTAATTTTTTTGCTTGTTTACATTTATTTGTAATTTTTTTCACACATTTATTTGTAATTTTATTTCGCCACTATAATTGCGCAAATGCGCTAGTGGTTTGCTCAATAAATAAATAAATCAACAACGCTCGACATGCCTAGCTTTCTCCGCAGCGGTAAAAACATTTTTTTCGCGGAGACAATGTGGAGGGGATAAAAACAAACGGTCATAACTTTGTAAAATTTTTGGTGTCATTCAAATCATCTTGACGAGATCTTTCGAATGAGCTATTATGGTTTTGACCCCAAAAAAAGCTTAATCCCTCCATGCTTCCCGGATTTTCAGGGGTATAAACATCCTGAAAAAATGCAAAATTGGACCATCTCGAGTAATTTTATACTGATATTTCATCTTCCCAAATCTCTTTAGACAAGAAAAACATGAATTTAGGTGTGTTCATGAGCCGTAGTCTAGCCATATTCAGTCAAAATTCGAACATATTTTGGTAGATTTTCTATCATACCGGAAAAATTTTTAAGAATTTCGCATTTCGTGATTTTCGCGTGTTTTGGACTTTCGCGTTTCGCGTGTCGGTTTTTTAAATTTACTTTCGCTTTTCGCGTTTCACTCTATAAATTTAATTTCGCTCTTCGCGTTTTGCTTTTTAAAATCCATTTCGGCACACCCCTGATATATAACGGCCGTGATACTCATTTATTCATTATTCATCTATATTTAGATTTTATAGCTCCTAGGGATATTTCAAATAAAGATCTGCTTTAAAATTAATCAAAACTAAGAAATGATATGCATATTTACCTTAATATTATTGTTATCTTCTTTGAAGCAAATATTAATTTTATATATTTGTGAAGATAAAAACAAATCCTCAATCAAAAGTAATTTTTTCCCTTTAATTCCACTCATTATGCTTTTTATTTTGTGTGTAGTTTCGCCTGGATTAGAACACTCGTAATGTTTTGAACTTGTATAAATACAATCTCTTTCATTTTTTTCATCAATTTCGTATAAAATTTCAATTTTGTATTTCACTTCATCAATTTTATTCACTTCCATTCTCAACAAATTTATTTTAACACTTCCATCCTGGTTTTTATTATTTTCTGAAGATTCAACCAAAATTCGTTGATTATTTTGTAAATTTTCCGAAGAAAAAGAAGAAAATAATAAATTAAATAAAAAGACAAATAATTTGATTTTATTCTTCATTGAAAAACGAAAATTAAAAATATTTTTTTATCAAATTATTCTGAGCTTAATGACAACTTTAAACTGTTTTATATTTGCCCTTTGTTATGTCTGCATTTTAAATGTTTGGAAATAATTTCCTTTCATAGGGTATTTCATTAAATTCACATGAAAAATACATTAATTAAATGAATTAAAGAAATATTTCGAAAATATACACACCATAGTGGTGGATGGCGGCACAGACGATTTATCAAATATTTGACCTTTATTTGATGGATTTGTTCATTTTTGTACTAAAATGTAAAATTATTTTGCACTTAAAGATCATTTCGGAAATGCACTTTAAGAAAATATAAATTTTGATTAAAAATGCTTATTCCACATAATTTTAAAAGAATTTCCGGATAAAAATATTTTTCTCAAAAGTTGGTTACTAAATTAAAAGCAATTTCAATTGTATTAGGTTTAATTTTCTAAAATTCTACAGCTGTACTTAGTTTCAACATAATTTAGATTTTTTTAAAATATATGATTGTTCTTAAATATTTCAATACGTGTTTTCCAGATCAGAAAAATTAGAAACATTTTGGAACACATTTTTCCTCGTTTGCTTTTTTATTTTAACAGGCTTTGAGGTTTTCAGTAAATCCGTTAAGAATTTGATTAGAGAAGATGAGCTGAGAAGATAAAGTTAAATAATAACATAAGATATGATTTGTAATATTTAGTATAAATTGAAAAATTTCAAATAAAATTTATTATACATTAATGAGGCTATCCAGCTTTTTATTCTAATTCACGTGAAAGCATTCACTGTATCACATCATCAGATGCTAAAAACAGTTGCTCATGTTAATACTGAATTAGAACTCTCATCCAGGTAGTTTAAGTATATATTTGGAAAATATTCTAATTGATTTCTACTTATTTGTATAAATATAAAGCGAAAAATATATTTTTAACACTTATAGCGTGTCAAGCAAACTATATAGTAATAATTTTATTTGTATAAAAGTAATAATTTTATTTAATATCTTAAAATAGTTTACGATTAAGGTGTAATTTCAAGAAATTTTATTGCAAAATTGACTTTCAATCACTGAAATCGGACACGGACATATTTTATCATTTAAAAAGCTAGGCTGGATTTGTTTATATTTTATTTTTTAGACTAAGAAGCATAAGGAAGCATTTCATTACCCAACGCAATTGTATAATATTAGCAACTCAATTTGTCCAGATCGAGGAATTTTTACTTTTTCTCCTTAAACATCTGAAAAAAGGAAATATTTAAAAATTTAATCGTGTTTTCACTGTCAGAGCATAAATTTTCAATTTGTGGGTTTTTATTAATTTTTCCGACTAGTTGGAAAATGTATTCGTTTTTAAAATTTTGTAAATCAATAGTAAATCCTTGGGCATTTTCCATTCTTATTGTTAAAGAAACACAGGAACTTCTCTTAGAGAAGCAACAATGTAAAAAAAGACTTTTGCCTTTCTAAGAGAAGTAACCCGGCTTATAAAGTTTTAAATAGATTAAAGATAGAAAAATAATGTGTCTAATATAATATTTTTCTAGTAACAAAATATAAAAATAAACTTTTATTTGTAAAAATATTTAAACAAATTTTAACTAATTTCATTGATGTAAAAATTGCAAATTAAAATTGTATGGAAATTATATTTTTCAAAACTTTCTTATATAAAATTTTTTACAGGTTTTCTCAATTTTCTTGAATTTATGTTTTATAATTTTGAAAATTTGTTTCAACAATTTTTACTTTTTCTTTTGTTATTCCATCTTTATCCAAATAAAATTCATAACTTCCCTCATTTATCACTGCTTCAATTGATGCAACAAATTCCATATTGTTCAAAAACTCTTCATAATATACATTCATTTGACCATCTTCATTATCATTTTCCTCTGTTTCTGCTATGTAGATTTTAATGGAGTGTCTCAAGCTTTTCAAAACATTTTTATCCAAATCTGAAATTTTCTTAAACATTTTGAAAACACATCTTGTCTCTTTTGTTTCTTTAATTCTAACGTAGATTTGAAATCTTCCAATTGTTAAATGTTTAAAGAGAATAATAAAATAATTGCCCGGATTTTCAAATTTTAGACAAATTTCAATGTGGGAATATTCCATTTTCTCAAAATGTTTTTCGCCTTTTAAACTGGTTGACTCAATTAATTTAGATTTGCTAAAATGTTCTTTTTTAAAAATTTTCCTTGGCCCATCCGGGTTTAAAAAACATATTAATCTTGTCAATTTATATTTGTTTTGAGATGTTGTCCTTAAAAATGCTGCTGTTCCATTTATAAGTATTTCTATACCAGGAGGAATTTTAGCATCTTCCAAACTCTCGTCTGAAAAACTATTTACATCTAAATCTACTTTTGCGTAAAACAAAGCAGATAAGTTCATTAATGTCTAAAGAAAAAAGTTTAATGTTTATTGTAGTTGGTGTTGCGTTAATTGAGGATACGCACTTGAGGATATGACAAATGTGGACGACAATTGAGGATTAAAATTAAAATAAAAAAAGAAATAAGAGACCTTCTAAAATTTTTGCCTTCTCCTATTGCTAAAACTATAAAAATCAAAGTTTTAATATAATTTCTTAACACCTATTTTTGTGAAAAATTGGAATAAAAAATTTCTCTGATAAATAAACTTAAGATAATATGGATATATTTTACAAATTACATTTATAACTATTATAAAAATTACAAATGGATAAACCATCAGGAACTCAAAGAAATAATAAAAATATGTGTGTTCATATAATTTCTTAACACACCATAATCTTTAAAGAAAAAAGTCTAATGTGATTGTATTTAACATAAAAATTATTTTTATTCCTACCTCTTTATCATTCTGATCATTAATTTCATCATAAATTTCATTAATTTCATCATAAACATTTAAGCAAATATTAAAATTTACTATATCTAAACTCCAAAACACATCCTCAATCAAAATTAATTTTTTCCCTTTATTTCCATTATTTATATTTTTTATTTTGTGAGTAGTAACGTCTTCGATAAAACACCAGTTTGGATATGAACTTATATAAATGTAATCTTTTTCATATTTTTCATCAATTTCGTATAAAATTTCAATTTTATAAAAGCCAGTCCCTTCTTCAATTTCATTTACTTCCATTCTCAACAAATTTATTTTAACACTTCCATCCTCGTTTTTATTACTTTCTGTAGATTTAACCAAAATTCGTTGATTATTTTGTAAATTTGAAGAAGAAAAAGACGAAAATAATAAAGTAAATAAAAGGACAAAAAATTTAATTTTATTCTTCATTGAAGAATAAAATCTTAAAAAATTTAAATAACATTAATTTAAGCTTTAAGACAGTTTTCTACTAATTTTACAGTGGCTATTTTGTATGACAGTTCAAATTTAATTTTCAAAATATTGTCTTGACTATGGAAAATAAATTAAATAATTAAAGCATTTTTCTTACTTATAAGTTATAACAATTAAACTTGAAAAATAATGTTAAAAATAACAAGTTGGATGGGGGCACATTCGCTCGTACTCCGGGCTTTGGTCATTCCAGGATTCTATTCGTTCTTTAATCCAATGAATTTTCTACAGCATAAATATAATATGATTAAAGTTTAACAGTTTGGGGAACGAAAGAAATGATTGCTAAAATCAGTAAAGAAAGGAGTTATTGAAAGTTATGTGTAAATTTCTGTATGGCCGTTTTAACTAATTAACAAAGAAGTTATTCGGAATAGTGATTGTTAAGGCATAAGTTTAGCAAAAATAAGGAATCGAACCTTTACATCTAATAATTTTTAATCTCTGCTTCCGGGCCGTTAATTTGTTTTTTTCCATCTAGATTTACATGAACTGACAAATTTTTACGCATGCTAACCAGCTTTACCTAAGATTATCCTCTTCACAAATGGAAAATATAAAGGAAAAATATAAATTTTTCAAAAATTGAATGTAAAAAGTGGTTTTAAAGAATTCAGTTTCATTTTATTAAGTCTGAAAAGGTATAAATCGGTTGTTAACACACTAATCAACTTTAGCCATTCTTTATCAAGATCCGCCTTTTTGGGTAATAATCCTCGGTGGGCATTTTATTTAACTCATAAATGAGAAATACACAAGTCAATTCTCGCTTATATTTGCCATTTATTAAAATTTATTTGAACTTTTGTTTGACAAATTCGTTCGTGTTTGTACGAAATTGTGAGAAAAGATTGTTTTTAATTAAAGATTATCTTGTAAATGCACTTTAGAAAAATATTAAATTATGTTTAACAAATATTTTATTTCTTAATAATTTTAAGGAATTTCCGGCATTCTTTTGAGGTTTTTGTCCACCGCTGCTAAGAAAAAATAGGAAATTATTTCTAAACATTTAAAAGGCAGACATAACAAAGGGCAAATATAAAACAGTTTAAATTTGTCATAAAGCTCAGAATAATTTAATAAAAAATATTTTTAATTTTCGCCTTTAAATGAAAAATAAAATAAAATTATTTGTTCTTTTATTTACTTTATTACTTTCTTCTTTTTCTTTTGAAAATTTACAAAATAATCAACGAATTTTGGTTGAATCTACAGAAAATAATAAAAACGAGGATGGAAGTGTTAAAATAAATTTGTTGAGAATGGAAGTAAATGAAATTGAAGAAGGGACTGGCTTTTATAAAATTGAAATTTTATACGAAATTGATGAAAAATATGAAAAAGATTACATTTATACAAGTAAAAGTCCTTTCCCTAACGAATGTTTTAACGACGAAAATACACATGAAATTACAAGTAAAATTAATGGAAATAAAGGAAAGAAATTAATTTTGATTGAGGATGTGTTTCATCGTTTAAAAAGAGGAAGAGTAAATATTTGCTTAAAATATAATGATGGTAATGAAATTAATGATAAGGTAAAAGTTTCCATTATTTAAATATAAGTTTTATCTATTTCATATAAAGGAATTAATGTCTATAACATTTTTGTTTTTTGCACAAATCAATTTGGACGTAAATAAACTTCCTGATAAAAGCATGGAAGAGTATACTAATTACCGTTGTTTACAACTAAATATAAATGGAATGAAATCAGTTTTCTGGATACCATTTGATTTCATCGGTAAATTGACAAGATTAATGTGTTTTTTGAATCTGGAAGGGCCTAGAAAAGTTTTGAAAAACGATAATTTTAATAAAGCTAAATTAATTGGTTCAAACCAATTAAAAGGCAAAAAACATGAAGAGAAAATGGAATATTCTCACATTGAAATTTGTTTAAAATTCGAAAATCCAGGAAATTATTTTATTATAGTCTCTAACGATCCTGTTGTTGGATGGCTTCAATTCTACGTTAAAATTAAAAAAGCAAAGGTAAAAAGATGTGTGTTCAAAATGTTTAAGAAAATTTCTGATTTAGAGAAAAAAGTATTGAAAAGTTTGAGACATAAAATAGCAATAACTATATCAAAAACAGATATAGATGATATTGAAGATGGCGAAATGAATGTAGATAATGTAGATTTCATGAGCAGATTTAACAACATTAAAATAATTGCCATAATTGAGCCATTAATTGATGATGGAAGTTATGAATTTTATTTAGATAAAGATGGAATAACAAAAGAAAGAGTGAAGATTAATGAGGCGAATTATTAAAATTTTTGAAGAAGTAACCACTAGCAATTGATGAAACCTTTTGAATAATTCTGTCAAAAAATTAATATGACGCATAATGAAATTGATAGTTTTTTCTTATACAATTTTTTTTTGTAATTTTTCTAGTAAAACTGAATAAAATTTCCATTATTTTTACAAAAATTTTCTTATTTTAAATAGTTAACTATTTCCTGAATCCTCGCTTCCTACTGATAACATTATCGAACATATGATACTACATCTGTACGGTGAGATATCGATAGCATGTAAAGAAAACAAAGGATTAGAAGACTCATTTATAAAACATTTTAAGCAATTAAAAATATTTATTTAATTTTATTTAGTTCCTTCTAAAATTTGATTTCAAATTTTTAAAGAATATGTTTTTGACGCGAATGACTCTTTCTTTTGTTATTCCATCTTTATCCAAATAAAATTCATGTCTTTCTTCACTTATCACTGCTTCAATTGATGCAACAAATTCCATATTGTTCAAAAACTTTTCATAATATACATTCATTTGACCATCTTCATTATCATTTGCCTCTGTTTTTGATATGTAGATTTTAATGGAGTCTGTCAAAAAATTCTGGCAAAAAATTAATGTGAAAATTTAAGCATGATGAAATGGAAAGTCATTTTCTTATACAATATTGTTTTGTAATATTTATAGTAGTAAAATGAATAAAATTTCTATTTTTTACCAATATTTTTTCTATTCTAAATAATTTAACTATTTCCTAAATCCTCGCTTCCTACTGATAACTTTACTGAATTATAAAATATACAATGCGAGGAGATATCGAGAGCATTAATTAATACAAAAGAGGATTAGATCAGCCGTTTTTTAAAATAATACATTTAGCTTTTTATGTTACAATCCAAATTTATTTGGACTAAAATTAAAAAATTACCTCTATTAATAATTAGTATTTATTTGAACTTTTATTAAGACTTCTGTTATATTTTTCTTCTCAATAAATTGTAAGGCTTAAATGTGTAATCCATGAGAAACTAATAAAAACCCCGCCTAGAGAGAAGATGCATATAAGCTAAAGGAAAATAGAGAAAAGCGGCTTAGTTGACGATCATTCCAATTTAGTTCCTATTCAATCAATGGCCTAGTGTTCGGTCGGCTTTAAGCCTGACCAAGTGGTATACCAACAATCATTCGCCCCGCTCGCTTACGCTACCTCTGGCAATTATTCACCGCACGCATTTCCATCAACATCTTCTCTCTTTAATTAGGCTGGGCCCCTTAATTAAATTATTTACTTAATTAAACACCTTTGATTATATAATTTATTTTTCATGAAAAAGGTGAACAATTTTTTATTGAAGATAATAAGCGGAAAAGGTCGCTGCTAATGTTTTTAATGTGAAAGTTAAGACAGATAAGTATGTTTTGTTGATGGGAGTTTTAATTTTTTAGATTCCAAGCTTTTTTGCTTCAGAAATTTATTGAGTTAAGAAAGCTTGTTTTGATGTGCGATGTTATATTTTTTAATTGATTTTACGCAAGTTCAGTTCAAAAATTTATACAAACATTCAATATCTTCGTATTCCGATGGTTCCACTACTTGAACCATAGATAGCTAATTCTTGAAGTATTTGTACAAGATCCGCAAGTTTTGTCAAACGAAAATTTGAGGCAAAGTAAACAAAATAAATATTGACGATGTTTTTATTTAGTAACTAATTTTCGAGAAAAATATTTGGAAATTCTTTTAAAATTATAAGAAATAAACATTTTTTAATCAAAATTTATATTTTCTTAAAGTGCATTTCCGAACTGATTTTTAAAGCAAAATAATTTCACATTTTTGTATAAAAATGAACAAATGTATCAAATAAAGTTCAAATATTTGATTGATCGTCTATGCAGCCATCCACCCTTATTATATTATTTTAATGTTTTCTCCATGAAAGTGCGAGCTTATATTTTCGAAATATTTCTTTAATTCATTTAATTAATGTAATTTTCATGTGAATTTAATGAAATACTCTATGAAAGGAAATTATTTCCAAACATTTAAAAGGCAGACATAACAAAGGTCCCATATAAAACAGTTTAAATTCGTCAAAAAGCTCCGAATAATTTAATAAAAATATTTTTAATTTTCTCTTCTCAATGAAGAATAAAATAAAATTATTTGTTCTTTTATTTACTTCATTATTTTCTTCTTTTTCTTCGGAAAATTTACAAAATAATCAACGAATTTTGGTTAAATCTACAGATAATAATAAAAACGAGGATGGAAGTGTCAAAATAAATTTGTTGAGAATGGAAGTAAATGAAATTGAAGATGAAGAAGGCACCCGATATAAAATTGAAATTTTATACGAAATTGATGAAAAATATGAAAAAGATTACATTTATATAAGTTCATATCCAAAAAGGTGTATTATGTTAGACGAAACTACCCAAAAATAAAAAATATAAATAATGGAAATAAAGGGAAAAAACTAATTTTGATTGAGGATGTGTTTTGGAATTTAGATATAATAAATTTAAGTATTTGCTTAAATGTTTTTGATAATGGTGGTGCTCAAATTGATAAAAAGGTAAGAATTAAAATAACTTTTTTAAACAAATTCAATATTAGACCTTTTTTCTTTAGAAATTAATGAACTTGTCTGCTTTGTTTTAC